TGTTTATTTACTTTTTCAACCCTTGCTGCTTAGGGCAAACTAAAATGTATTCATTTTTGTAAACGAAAATACATTCATGTGTCGAACACTTTGGTAGTCACTCAAGCATGCACATCCTGTCTTCACAGGTAGTCTAGTGGAAAATATAATTTTTTAAAAGTACACACAGATAATCATAATTACAATAGTAGTAAGTTCTGTTAAGAAGTACACAAGTACATGAAATTCTAGGCTTCTGAAAAGGAGTCTTTACACTAACCTTCCTGGAGAAAATTACATTTAAGCTGATACCTGAACAGAAGAATGGTTGTTAGACAGGAGGTGCGGTTGGATAGAGAACAGAGAAAAGTATATTGGTAATGCTGTTCCTCCTTGAACAGAGGAAAAACCTCTGTCCGTTCAGACTCACTGCAACTTATGTATCTCCAGCAACCATGACTTTGAAGGATTGTACATTACATACAAGGGAGTTCAAAGAAGTGGAAATTTCCATGATCTTTGAATTCCATTTTCCCACAACTTTGTGAAGCTCTTCAGATATATTGTATTGGATAAATTATTTCTCTAAAATATAAAATTATTACATTGAATATGATTTTTCAAACTATAACTTTACCCTTCTACCAAGGAGTATATATCATTAGACTTTATAGATGATATAAAAAAAAACTTTCCAGGGCTAAATATTAAAGGGAAGTAGTAGTTAAGGACAAGAGATGGGTGCTGGGCTGCAAGGAAGGAAAGGATGCCGGGAAAGGGAAGAGGAGAACAAGACAGAGCAGAACTTCCCCTGTGTTTCCAAGGCTGTACTCTTCACGAGAGCAGGAAGCTTCACCTTTTCTCATGGAGTGCGGCTAGTGGGTTTGAACTGCTGACCTTGATCACCCTGATCACCAGGGCTTCTTCAGTGAGTAAAAGGTAGCTCAGAGGACATGGCATTCCATACTTCAGGTGGGTTTGGGGATTCGAATGGGGAAAGGCAACACATTAGATAAGATGACTTAATAGCTGAATACTGTGATAGATTTGGGATTAATTTGTACAAAGCAGTACATTTTAGACTCACACGATATTGACGGTGAGGTGTGTGGCTTTTTCTGTCACGCTTGAACAAATGAATTATATCTGAAAGGAATTACTGTAAGGTGAATGAGGGGTAAATATAACAGAAGCATAGGAGGGAAAAATGTGTGTATATAAATACATATTTGTGTATATATGTATATATATACAAATCTGCTTCCTTATTACATATTATATATGTAACTTGTAATTACATATATTGCATATACATATTACATGTATGTTACATATGCATGTAACAAGGAAGCAGATGGACTTCGAGCTTCCACTTAAATCTTGCTTCAATACAAGAATAGTTTGACAAAAAAAAAAAGAATGGTTTGTTCTCACAATGTGTGTGTGTTAGTCTGGGTTGACTAGAGAAACATAATTCATAGACACTCATATGTGCATAAGAAAAAGCTTTATATAAAAGAGCAATTGTATATTGAGAAAACATTCCAGCCCAGTCCAGATCAAGTCCTTAAGTCTGATATTAGCCCATATGTCTGATACCAGTTTACAAATTCCTCTTCCACTCACGCAACACATACAACACATACACATACAATGACGCCAAATTCAGGAAGATACAGGCCAGTGGGTGGAAGGTCTTTGGCAGTGAAGCATCTCAGTGCTGGCAGGGGTCTCCACATGGCTCCTCCAGCTCCAGGGCTCTCCTGTAGCTCCATGTGTCTTGTCGGCAGAAAGACAAAGTTGAGTCTGTATGTATCTGGCCTCCCGTGGGTTCTTTATGTCCATGGTGCCTCCAAATGAGGTTATCATGCTGAGACCTGATTGACAGGCTAGACTCCACCCCTTTGCAAGTTGACACCAGATTATGTAACTACCACAATGTGGCATTGTATGATACCTTCCTGGCAGGATCGCTGAAGACAGAATGGGTGCATAATCAAATGTGGTGAAGAAAGCTGATGGTGCCTGGCTATCAAAAGATATATAGCATCAGGGGTCTTAAAGGCTTATAATTAAACAAGCGGTCATCTAGCAGGGAAGCAACAAAGCCCACATGGAAGAAGCACACCATACAGTGTGATCATGAGGTGTCAATGGGAAGAGCTATTAGAAGTTCAAAAACATGCAACCAGCTCATTGTGAAGGGGCCTGGATGCAATGGAGACCCAAAACGCACCTGAAAGATAATTGGACAGTCCCTCTCAGCAGGGCCAGATAATAAAGCCAGGGGGGCAGTATGGCACTGATGAACCACGTAACTATCCTCTAGTTCTTTGATAGTTCCTTCCTGTATACTCCTAAGGTTTAGTCTTCATTAACTCACATCAGATTTGTGTATGTTCATGGGTATATTTAAGATTGCTTGGTACATGAAAGTCAAGATAGATGACCCCTCAGGGACAGTGATTCGAGTAACACGGTTCCCTGAGGGTACAGGAATGGGGGTGGGGCAGAAGCTGACAGCATTGACGATTGTATAACCCTACCCGATGGGACTGAGCAACAGAATTGTATGTGAATGGATCCATTGGAATGTGTGAGATGTCAAACTATTAAATAATAAAAAAATATCTATGCAAACAAAACCTTAAACATTGAGGCAAGTGACTATCTAGAACTTTTAAGTACAAAGAAGGACCAATTGCTGTTGTGTGGACTGGGTCTTGATGACCGCACACACGCACCAGAGGATGGTGCTCCACGGGGTCCTCAACGGCTCATTTTCCAAAGCAGAGCTCCAGGCGTCTCCTGAAGGTGCCTTAAGCGTGGTCTTGGACTTCCAGCCTTTGGGTTGGCAGCCAAGCCGTTTGTACCACCCAGGGACTCCTTTAAATGCATGGTTATTTCCCTCACCATACTACATCCCTTCATTTAGCCTGTGGTCTGTTGAAACTCCAGCGGTCATTTGACTTGGTGAATAATGTCTTCTCATTATGTCACAAGTTTAGAATGGATTAGACCACTCTGGGAGCAAGAGTTTTAGCTATTTTGGATGTCTTTATTTCTCATATTCTCCTTGAAATGAATATGCACAGTAAACAAAAGCTGAAAGATATACTAGAAAGGGTGGTAATGACCTGGTAGGAAATGATGAGACATTTGGGGCTAACACATTATTATTACCTCCCATAATGGGATATGCTATAAGTAATAAGATTATGATTACACTTTTAAGATATATGGGCTGGAGCCAATTGCCAGCCATACCACCTCCTGATCCTGAGTTACCACTTGACCTATAACTCATTCACCTCTGCAGTCATCCTGCTGACCTTGAATTCACTTGCTGATCAAGCCACCAGCCTATCTTGGGTTCATTGGCACCTGCAGCTATGCAAGTCAGGGAAGCCTCCTACCTAATGTCTGACCCACAAGCATGGAACCTATGTAGACTTGGATTTGCTCCAGCTCTACGTCATATTTGATTGCTTCTTTCATAGCTCTATGATTACGTTTTCTTCACAGGACAAATTGCAGGGATTTTTCTTTTTCTGATCTAAAGTGGCGCACTTACACTCATAGCAGTCTTCATAAAAGCAAAACCTATCTTTGTTCCTGTTGTCCGTAGGCTCTGACCCTCAAGGATTTGAGGCAGGAACTGAATAAGGGAGTCAGACATGCTCGTTAACATCATATATCTGCCTGGTTTGCATATGAATTCACCTAGGAGGATCCTGAAGGTTAAGACTTGGATTACAAGATAGGAATCATGGGAAACTTCAGCCAAATTTCAGGTAATAAGTTCTTTTGTTAAGAAATGTGATATGGCCAACAATTCCCAAGGTAGCTCATTCATTTAGCATTTAAAGGATGGTGACATTAGTGATGTTAGTAGTATTCCCCAACTGGGAGGTTGTGCCAAATTATCTCCAGTCTGTTCTGAATTCCCTGGGTCCCACTCAGGAAATATACAGTTGCAATGTACAACGCACTGCAAACTGAGTTCCTGGACCCACTTCAGGTTAGCCTTTCCAGATACATGAAAAAATAGCTCTTCTGCCCCATACTCCTTCCAAAGGCAGGAGAAAGATTCTCCCAAGAAAGTCTAGTGAAGCCTGAAATAAGACATTAAAATAATTTGAGACCAACAGATGCTAATGTTTGCATTTTATTTAACTTTATTAAAAAGTAAAACTATAAGGAAAAAAAATCAAATGTACAAATACGAGAATGGAGAATTGGGTAGGGATGGACATAGTGATGTTGGTTGACACTTGTAACTATCAGATAACCCTCACTCACTAGCAGGTAAACTTTCAGAACAACCAACAATTGACTATCGATAATGCTGTCATTTCACTGTGGTTTCGAAAAATTCCCCAACAAGGTTTGGGAAACTACTACAAATGCCTTTTAAGCTGCTCCTAGGAAAAAGAGTGGTAGAAGCAGTGTGGACAAGGAAATAATTTCAAGAGAACAACAGTTCTCTGAACACACTTGTATGCAAGTTACCCAAGATAGACCTCATCCAAGTACACTACATCTTCTACCACGGGTGTCCTGAACACAAATAATTTTTATCCAAGCTCGGCAGAGACCACTGGTAGGCCGTTGCGTGGGTTGTAACACTGGTAAAGTGCGCTCATCTGAGAAGGCGTGAGAAGCTAAAAACAGAGCAAACGAAATAAATACCATGACTACAAGCCATAGCCTTAGCCTTAGCCCTCAGAAGTCTGTGGGTGAAGCCAGGGGATTCAACTCCAAACCCCACTGGATCTGAATTCCTAGTCCTCAGTGGGCTGGTGTTGAATCAAGAAAGGACATGGTGAACTGAGCACTTGGCTCTGCCTGTCCAAACCAGAAGGCACAGTTAGTTATTCTGACGGCCCAAAGCCCTAGAACTGCTGAAGGATCATTTTCCGTTTCAGGTCGAGGCTGAACTTGTTCATCCTAAAGAGTTCACTGTCATAAAAAGCTGAGAGGTTGTGGATGTTGATCTGACGAGCCTAAAAAGAGAGAAATGTCCAGTCAGTTGGCAGTGATGAGAACAATGAGCTCTAATACTTACAGAGAGCCTTGCAGATGCAGGGCAAGTATTCGCTACACTTTACAGGGGGAAAGGCCAGGTGCAGAGAGGTTAAGTTATCTGCACCTAGATGACATGAGTTCAAAACTTAGCTCTGCCAGTTACTGCATGAACTTTGACAAGTTACTAGTGCCCGCTGCCTCCTTTGTATAATGGAGGACCAACCTCATTCAATTGATTCCACGACTGACGTTCCTGGACTGAGTGGACATCTCACTATAAACACTCACAAAGTGGCGATCACCCAAAGTCCCACAGCTACTGCACTGAGAATTGTCCACCAATGATCCAGTCCCCAGAGATGCTGCTGACAACTCCCAAGACTACCAGTCCCAGTTTCTAGCTGCTCTCCATACCTTGTCAACCAAGTCCTTCTCAGGGACTTCAATCATGTCCTGCTGGGCCCCAAAGCGGTTGCGCTGATATGTCACCTGCTCTGCCACCAACTGCTTCAACACGAAGAGCAACAGCTCGTTGTTATCGCGCCGGAAGGAAAGGTAGCGGGCAAAAGTCTGCAGAGAGAAAGCAAGAGTGAGACAACAGCGCCACGCCACGACCCTCCAAGCTACTACAGGAAAGCCCTCTCCCTTTGACCGTACTTCCCCACACATCTTGCTCAGGGCAGTTGGACCAAGAAACAACTAACTGCTCACAGGCAGGAGTTCAAAAGGCCCTAAGCCTCAGTCACACCCACCTTCCGCATGCTTCGCATGACGCTGAACTTCTGTGTGTCAATGAAACTCTCCAGCATCACGCGAATGGCCATGTTGACATCATCCTCTATCACGTAGTCCCGCAGGTGGATGCGCGCATGGGCTTCTGCCATTCGGATCATGGACTCAATGTGCCGCACAGTAATGGGGATGCTGCCTGTTGCCTGAAGAGAAGGAAATGATCAGGTTTCCTCTTTTCTCAGGTAGGGAACAGGTGGTTAAAAAAGAAAGAAATGTCCATCTTAGATAATAGGGTCGTACCCAAGGGATGTTGCATGTGCATGGGTTCGAATTACTGTGCCTACACATTTCTATCGCACCAGCTCGAGTGTTATACTTGCTATCCTCATGTAAAGAAATGTTGCAGGATCCAATGATCCGTGGGAAAAGTTTGTTTCTGTGAAAACTACTAAGCTGAATGCTCTCAAAGAGTTAAAAGGCAAAAAATAAAACTGCTATCAGATCAGGTGACAGGGAGGTGGGCAAAGTGGGCGAGGCATACAAATCTACAAGAACTCTACATTCCAATTCCTTGCCGACTGTCTTTGAATTCTCTATGAACTTTCAAAACTAAACTCGGACCACATGCCCATTTGAGTGAGACTTCTACAAAGTCAATGCGAAACTTAATCAACGAACCAACACTCAAAAGGCCTTGACCTCTTACCAAGATGGGCAAATGAACGTGTATAATCTTACCTAAAACAAAATGTTGTGGCATACAAGTTTCTTTGCTCAGCTTTTCTGCTTTGGACTTTTAGAATTAAGTGGCCCGCTACAAAGCCTAACTGCACATCGCAGAAAGATTCTCCGGGGCTTCCTTCCCCACATCCCACTCCGCCCCACCCTCCAGGCTCCATCTGGGGGCTCTCACCATGGATTCTTTCCTCAGGTCACTGTACATCTTGGCCACCTTGTCCTGATCCATCTGGTTGAGCTTTGGGTGGACCTTTTCCTTGGCATAGATGATGTATTTCCTTAGTACCTCCTGGGGCAGAGGCTCTACTCCGTATGTATTTGGCATGGCAGGCTCTGGCGTGCTGCCGTTGACCAGACCTTCCGCCTCCTTGTTGCTGGGGTGGTGCCTGACATGGCTCCCTACTACAAAGCGGGCCAGCATCTCATCCTGAGGAAGAAGGCCCGAGGGCAAGTGTTGGTAACATGGCTTAATGGAAGAACTGAAAAGCCGTATGTGCTTTGAGAATAGCATTCTCTCCACAGCATCAAACACACGCCTGCCAAGTGCCAGGCAGCGTTAGGTGCTTCAAACACGTCGACAACATGACAGAGCCCTCACAAGACTTACTTCCAAGTGAATGACACACTTTTATTTAAAAAAAAATTTTTTTTTTAATTTTTATTTCCCTCCCACCCCCCTCAAAAAATTTTCTTTAAAAGTAACACATGCAAAAGGATAGAAGGACTGAGGAGACCTCTCTAGCTAAGTTGTCAGAGAAACATGAGATGCAAGTCAGGTGATAATCTTGAAGAGCATCCCAGGGGCAAAAACTCCCCGCCATCAAGCTGATGCGGACTCTCGGAGACCCTACGGGATAGGATAGAACTGCCGCTGTGAGTTTCTGAGACTGTAACTCTTCACAGGCGTGCAAGCCCCATCTTTCTCCCATCCCAAGAAAACAAAAGAGCAGTTTTAAAGCCCCAGACTAGACATGCTTCCAAGCGAGGAAGAGAAGCAACTAGAGTTGAACGGAAGGGCACAGAGGAGCCCGAGAGAAGGCTGGAGAGGCAAGCCAGGAACAGATCACACAAGACCGTGCTGGCTACGGCGAGGACTGTGGATTCTACCCTCATTCCAATGAGAAGCTACTAGCAGCTTAAGGAGAGCTATCATAATTTGATTTATACTTTCAAGAGATGGCTCTGGTTCCTAACGAGAAAATGCTCTAAATGGCCGTCAGAGTGGAATCCAGGAGACCAATTACCCAATGACCGCAATCCTTTCTGTTTCAGCGGTGGCAGAAAACTAGTGAGAAACAGATGGAGGAAATAATGTGGAAGGAAGGACAAGAGGCTAGATTATCACCAGGGGCCCAGGAGGGGTGCCGGCGAGGGAAAGAGAAACAAGGGTACTTTCTAGACACGAGAAGGAAACAGGGCTGAAAACGAGACACTGGGTCTGTTTTGCCGGTTCCTCTCCCCAGAGTCCTCGCACATTCCCGGAACTCTACACTGCTCACGCCGACTGTAGGGTGCCCCACACGTGGGAGCGGTGTACCTGGACTGGATCCACGACGTCTCTCACCACACACAGGACATCGAAGCGCGAGATGATGGGCTCTGTGAGGTCCACGTTTTCTGAGAAGGTGAGTGAGGGATCGTAGCGCCCTCCTGTAAAGCAGAGGAACCTTTCTATCAGAACTCATCGGAGTCTCCTACCAGATTGCTTCTTCTTAACACTCAGTAAGTGCTCTTAACACCAGGGAGCTTCAATGCCACAAGGAATAAGGGGATTGAATGAATGAAGAGAGACATGTGTGAAGGACACAGAATATTGACTGTTAGGTCTCCGGGAAAGGAAGCAGGCAGAGTGGCTCCACCTTCCCTTAGCAACTGCCTAGCACCTTAGTGATCTAGTGCTGCTGTAACATAAGTTCCCCAAGTGGGGGCGCTTTAATAAACAGAAATTTATTTTCTCACGCTTTAGCAGACTACAGTCTGAATTCAGGATGCTGGTCCTCTGGGAAGATTCTCTGCCAGCGATGGAGTAGGGTCCTTCCTTTTTTTTTTAGCCTATTTATGCTCCTGGGCAATTTTCAAATAACTTGGTTTCTCTTTCCTCGCCTCTGCTCCTCACTTGCATTTAATCGCTTTTATATCTTACAAACGACGCAAAATATAAACCCTCTCTTAACCCTGTCTCAAGAGTGTAACAAGGACAGCCTAGTCCTAAATGGGACTCTGACCACAGGCATAGAGGTGAGGACTCAACACATATTCCAGGGGGTTAATTAACTCCTGGGATTGCCTTTAGTCAGAAAGCTATTTTGCAGGAAGAAAAAAGCCAAGAGCTATCAGGGTGGATGCTTTTGTGCCCTCTAAATTAGTTCCCGGTTGAGAGGAACCACTAATTCAATTTAGATAATGCTCTGAAATTCTTCCCTTGTGTGTTCTATGAGAAACATCCAAGTGCTGAGAACACAACTCCAAAAAACCCTCAGGTGTCCCAAGTCCTACTTGCACTTTGCCCCTCTGGCACTTTCTTTGCATGGATTGCCTCCTCAGATGGGCACCTAGGGGCCCCTGGAACCTGGATCGGAAGGCTCCTGACTCATGCAATTCTTCTCCACTGGACAGCCCTCCCCACCCCTCTGCCCTTGTAGTGACCAGCATATACCTATGGGGTTGGCAGCAGCAATGACAGTGCAGCGAGCCTGCAGTGAGGTGACAATGCCGGCCTTTGAAATAGAGATGCTTTGTTGTTCCATTGCCTCATGGATGCTGGTTCTGTCCTGGTCGTTCATCTGCAAGAGATTCACATACTTGCCGCTACTACTTCGTCTCTAGACCACACCCCAGACTCCTCACCACGGAAGGGTCAAGCCAACATACCCGGAATCCCATCACCCCTGAGGGCCCCTAGACCCACCTTGTCAAACTCATCTATGAGACACACTCCTCTGTCAGCCAGCACGAGGGCCCCGGCTTCTAAGGTCCATTCCCTGCTGACAGGATGCCGCTGGACATAGGCCGTGAGACCTACGGCCGAAGCCCCCTGGCCAGTGGTGAAGATGGCTCGGCTCGACACTTTCTCAATGTATTTGAGGAACTGAGACTTAGCCGTGCCAGGATCTCCACAGAGGAGCACGTTGATGTCACCTCGCACCTTGTGCTTGCCACCTGGGGGCAGGGGTGTCAGAGAAAAGGGAGATTAGAGAAAGAGAAGGGAAAGATGAGGGTAGGGGAATAGTATTATTTGGAAGAGCAGTTGGATATTCTCTCAGGAGAGGAATGGAATGCCCTGTGACCAGCAATCCTACATCTGAGCACGTCCCCTTGAGAAACCTTAGCACAGGCACACGAGCTAGCATGCACAAACATGCTCACCGTGCTTGTGAGACTCTGGAAACAATCACAGTGCTCTCCAGTGGCTTCCCAGGAGATCTGCTAGGCCAGCTACATTTAAGGTCAGAAGGTTATGTGGACTGCCTTCCAAAGAGTGAATCTTGACAGATTTTATCCAAGGGCACAGGATGATCACAGGGACTTATTATGAAGAAGTTTTAAGAAAATTAAAAACTGTAATGGCAAGAAAAGGCCAGAAGAGTCAACACTCCTGCTCATGCCTCGAGGGAAAATTTCACTGGGAATCTTTACCCGTTCAGCCTACAGCTCTGACTGTGCCCCTTCAGACTTGTCTTTGTTCTCCAAACTCAGAGAACATTTTGACATAGTGCTAAGTTGAAGAGCCCAGGGCTTGGCTCTTCAGGGAAAGGCTAGCGAGAGAGAAACACTGCTTTCAGAAGTGACAGATAGAAGATACGTTGAGAAGCTTCACGTTGTTATTTTTGTTTTATAAAAGTTTCTATGATTGAAACCAATTACTGCATGCCTTACTCTCATAGGTAGAAGTCTATGTAAGCACCTATGTAAAGGCGGCAAGTATACACAAGGGACTGTCAAGACGGACTGCCGAGAGCAAATGTTTTGAGAATGATGAGGGCAACGAATGTACAAATGTGCTTTACACAATTGATGTATGTGTGGATTGTGGTAAGAGTTGTATGAGCCCCCAATAAAATGATTTTTTTAAAAAGACCAAATAACCTTTTGAACCATAAAAAAAAAAAAAAAAAAGACGGACTGCGGAGAAGGGGGAGCCTAGGATTAGAAATAGAGATCAGTAGTGACTTCAGCCTGGATATGATACAAACATAAAAACAATCAAGTATCATTTTTGTAGTTTAAATTTAATAAAGACAGCAAAGAATTCAAAGTTCTAAGTATGGGGTTAGGAGCAGACACTGGCTGTCGTAAGTGCACGGCAGGGATCAAAGCTCTGTGGACTATCCTGTCCATGTGATGAATAATCAATCACAAATGCTCCAGCCATCATTTAAGATGTCATTTCCCCCCACAAAGGCTCATGCTTGCCATGCAGTCTTGCCCAGTCTATCACCCAGAATGCTGAGTCCTTGCAGTAGAACCTACTCAAGTCCCTGCACAGGACAGGAGGGTGGTGGACACCACTGCTCACCTGGGTTTTTGGGCTCCCCTCCAAACAAAGCCAGAGCCAGGCCTCTCTTGATGTCTTCATGCCCATAGATGGAAGGAGCAATGCTCGCAAAGATCTGAGGGAAGGAGGGACAGCCAATGAGAACGGAGCTCTCTCTCTGCATCTGGGCAGAGCAGGTAGGGTCTGATAACACAGACACTTCTCACAGTGCAGAGGAGCACACCACACGCAATGAGAGGTAGAACTGCTCGATTCTGAAAAGATGCCTCAAGGGGTGGAGATAAGAACAGAGACATATCCAGGAATATGAAGCAACTGACAAGTTCGGGGAAAGAATGCAGGAGAACAAAGAAAGGGCATCCACAGCTGCTCTAAAGGGGGACCAGGAGGGAGGCCTCTCAGTGGTTCAAGGAAAGGTGGGTTTAAGGAGCCTTGTCCTCATCCCTCAGCCTTTCACGCTTTCAATTACTTCCTCTGCCAGGATCTGAGACAGAGGTGAACAGGAAAATTATCCAATTCACTAACCAAGCCAACTGATATCTGAACTGTATGTTGCCCTGAGGACAGGACTCTGTTGGAGCAGGACACAGAGCCAAAGACAGCACTACACTGCTCTACACTTAAAAAATGAATGGAACTGGAGGCACAGGGAATCCAGGGCGGATGACTCCTTCAGGTCCAGCGGTGAGAGTGGCGATGCCAGGAGGGTAGAGGGAGGGCGGGTTGGAAAGAGGGAACCGATTACAAGAATTTACATGTGACCTCCTCCCTGGGGGACGGAGAAAAGTGGGTGATGGGAGACGTCAGACAGTGCAAGATATGACAAAATAATAATTTATAAATTATCAAGGGCTCACGAGAGAGGGGGAGTGGGGAGGGAGGGGAAAAATGAGGAGCTGATGCCGGGGGCTTAGGTGGAGAGCAAATGTTTTGAGAATGATGAAGGCAATGAATGTACAAATGTGCTTTACACAATTGATGTGTGTATGGATTGTGATGAGTTGTATGAGCCCATAGTAAAAAGAAAAAAGAAAAAAAAAGTAACACCTACACCTTAAAAAAAATGAATGGGAGAGACAAACACAAGAAGAATAAAACTGAACAGGAAGTGAGGAATTTGGAAGAAGGGGGAAAGGAGGAAGGATGAGAAAGGAGACAGGGGAGGAGAGCAGAGTGGCCATGAAAATAAACATTTAGCCACCTGGGAGCAGGACGGAGCCTGCGCAGTAAAATGGGAGAGGCTTTTTATGAATATTTAATAACCGGCATCTCTGCAACATACATCCCACCTCCCGAACCTTTGATAAAACTGTCAGTGTTAAAAACAAAAAGAACTTACGTGGGGCAGCCTTCTTGGAAAAGAAATTGCTACTTGGTCGCAGTTTGATACAAAGGAATGCACCAGTTATGAGTCATTCCTTGCACTCTACCTTTATTCAAGGTGAAGCCCGTGCTTGATATTAATTGGTTGGATGAAAAGAGAGTTCTTCTTTTAAGGATTTCCCTAACAATCAGATTCCTTTTCTTCCTGAGGGGTCACCAGGTTGTCCAACTACTTAGCTTTAAGATATGACAGCGCTAGGATGGGAGTTGCCAATCTCTGATGCTAGAGTGTATGCTCTCTCCTCTGCATGAAGGCGAGTTTTCTGTGGTGCCCACCAGGCATTCTATGTAGGAAGCAAGGTCTCCAAGACACGGGCATGAGGGGCAGCAAGCAGCAAACCCCGCTCATTTCCTCACACCTACCTTCTCCCCTATCTGCTGATCCTTCGAGAGGCTGGTGATCATCTTCACATCCTCGTCCGTCAGCTCCCCGACAGCCACCTTATTGTCCTTCTTGGCAACGTGGTTGGCCAGAATGACAGTGGCAAAGACCGGGAAGCCATGAGTGGTGTTGAGCGAGCCATCGTAGTTGTTGTGGTAGATGCCAGTCAGCTCCTAGGGCAGAGAAAGTGGTCAGTTAGACACAGGAGCCTGAGCCCACGTCCGCATCCAGGTCTCATCGCTAGCGGCACCAAGATGGGCTTTCTTATTAAAGCAGAAGGAAAACCACTCCTAAGCCCAATATTCCAATCTGCCAATCCAATTATGAGGAAAAGCTAGGTATGAGCGGAACCTCGCCCACCCCACTCCTTTGGGCACAATGACTCACGCGCATTTCCTCAGAGGTGCCTCCTTCCTGGTTTGCCCGTGGCTACTTACTATTTCATCCCCTGGTTTGCAGCTATCCACCAGATCAGCAAGGAGGATGGCATCCTTAGAGCGAGGCAGTCGGCCCGCGGCCACCTTGCCCGGACTCTCCTGAATCCGGATGCGCTGGTAGTTCTGATAGATGGTCTGCATGGGACAAAGGACAAGTCTTATGGGGCTTCTCCCTGGGCAGCAAAGATTTTTGTGCAAGGGGTAAGGTGCCCTTTAAACTTAAAAGCCTGGTTTCTCTGATGTCATCAATACTAACCATAATCCCAAGAAGAGGGGTAATAGGTGGTTTGATTCATTTCTATTTACTAAGGAAGAAATAGAGTGAAAGTTGGCAAGGAATCAGCCACCAAGACCCAGCAAATCTGTGCGGAGGCCCCGTCCTTGCCACCATCGCCGTGCAATGCCTTCTTCCAGTCGTGACCCTCAATACTATTGTAGGCAACACCGCCGCATAGCTATGAGTCAGCACCTTATTCTGGTCCTCACGTGACAGCTCTGCGATATTATCCATAATCTTATGATTCAGTCAAGTGCTGTTCCACAGTCAGTAAAAACACAAACAAGCAGCACGCAGGTGAAAGATTCAAAGTCAGGAGAAGGCATATGCCAGGGTTGCATCCGTTCATTCTGCTTAAATCTGTATGCTGAGCAAATACGCTGAGAAGCTGGAGTAGATGCAGAACTGGGCATCCGGACTAGAGGAAGGTGTACTGACCACCTGTACGGACATGAAGCTAGAACAGGCAAGGAGGACTTAAAAGCACTTAGTGCTGAAGATCAAACCCTTCAAGAAAGCAAACTCCTCACAAGTGGATCAACAGACAAGCGCATGATAAATGGAGAAAAACAGGAAGTTATCAGATTCATTGTGCTTCGATCCACCATCAGTGCCACGGAAGGAGCAGTCAAGAAATCACATGATGTATTATTGTTTGGAGACCTCGTCACATGTACTTCGGACATGTTATCAGAAGAGACCAGTCCCTGGAGAAGGACATCCTCATGCTTGGTAAAGGAGGTCAGGGAAAGGGAGGAGGACCTTCGAAGAGATGGACTGCAAGCTGCCACAATGAGTTTAAGTGTAACCCTCACTGTGAGGGTGGCACCGGACTGGCCCATAGTTCAGACTGTTGAACACAGGTGTGCTATGCGTTGGAAGTGATTCAATGACACCTTAGAACAAATACCTTTCTGGAATTCTCTGCTCTCAAGCAAGATCCATCTGATGTCAGCAAAATTATATCCTTGTTCCATGTCCTCTTTTGAATCCAGCTTGAATTCTGGCAGGACCCTATCGCTGTACTGCTGCAATCATAATTAGCTGTAGCAAAACTTTACTTGCATGTGATAAAATCTGGTTCTATGTATTTCCACATTGTGTTGGGCCACCTTTCTTTAGACTGGGCAGAAAAACAGGTCTCTTGCAGCCAGTTGCCTAGGCAGCTGTCTTCCAATTTTCTTTGTGTACATGAGTGAGGGCTTCGAGTGCTGTCTATGTGCATTGAAACATTTCAGTTGGTATTCTGTCCATTCCGGAGGCTTGCCTTTTGCCATACCTTCACTGAATAACTTGTGTAAAAATTACTGAATGAGGACCTGAACTACTGTGCAAGCCCCCACAGGAAGCACAATACTACTTTAAAAAAAAACATTGAGTTCTAACACCGCCTGTTACCTCTCTAAACACCATCACAAGCCCCCCCCACACACACACACACCCTCCCATGGGTCAATTCTGACTCACAGCAACACTACAGGACAGAACAGAACTATTCCTGTGGGGTTTCCCGAGACTATAAATCTTCACAGAAGTAGACAGTCTCATCTTTCTCCAGTGGAGTACCTGGTGGTTTTGAACTGCTGACCTTGAGCCTAACAACTCAATACAAAACGCACTACATGGTTAATAACACTGCCTAATTTATAAACGCGTGATACTACATCATATATCACTACCACTTGTCAATAGCGGCAAGTACTGAGGAGGTCTTAGCTGCAATGATTCATTTCACTTCCAGGTCCTGTCTCAGAAGCCCTGGTCGCATAGTGGGTTCCTATGAGGCTGCTAACCCCAAGTTCAGCTGTTTGAAACCACCAGTACCTCTGCGAAAGATGAGGCTCTCTACTCCCATAGAGATTTAGTCTCAGGAAACCTACAGGAGCAGTCTTATTCTGTCCTCTAGGGTCAGGAGTCAAGACTGACTCAATGGAAGAGGTCCTACTTCAGGATCTTCAGAAGCAGGGCCTGTGGCTAGGACTCCTGGGCACAGAAATCTGCTGTGGACGGATCAGGGTGCCTACAGAGCAGGGTGATCGCCCTGCTTTTCAGGTGAGGGCAGGCAGGCCCAGAGGAGACACAAGTGGCTCCCTAAGGTCTCAAAGCCGAGGATGGCAGCAGTCTCTCCGGAGGAAGAGCACGAGAAGGCTGCGAGATGAGACCGGGCACTGCCCGTGTACAAGGGGTGAAGAAAGGCGCCACAGCTGACCAGAACACAAAGCACTGTTCTCCGGGTGGGCCACGGGGGCCCAGATTTGACAGATCCCCCCACCCCCCAGTTTTTTAAGAGAAGCCATAAACAAAACCACCTCTTTAAAATATGACATGGGAGTGGCAAAACAGGGAGGGTAGAGGGAGAGTGGGTAGGAAAGAGGGAACCGATTACAAGGATCTATATATGACCTCCTCCTTGGGGGATGGACAACCGAAAAGTGGGTGAACGGAGACATCGGAAAGGGCAAGATATGACAAAATAATTAATAAATTATCAAGGGCTCATGAGGGAGGGGGGAGCGGGGAGGGAGGGGAAAAATGAGGACCTAATGCTGGGGGGTTAGGTGGAGAGGAAATGTTTTGAGAATGATGAGGGCAATGAATGTACAAATGCGCTTTATACAATTGATGTGTGTATGGATTGTGATAAGAGTTGTATGAGCCCTTAATAAAATGATTAATAGGAAAGAGAGAACCGATTACATGGAACTGTGTGTGATCGCCTCCCTGGGGGACAGACAACCGAAAAGTGGATGAAGGGAGACGTCAGACAGGGCAAGATATGACAAAATACCCATTTATAAACTATCAAGGGCTCATGTGGGAGGGGGGAGCGGGGAGGGAGGGGAAAAATGAGGACCTAATGTCGGGGGTTTAAATGGAGAGAAAATGTTTTGAGAAACGATGTACAAATGTGCTTTACATAATTGATGTGTGTATGGATTGGGATAACAGTTGTATGAGCCCCTAATAAAATGTTAAAATAAATAAATAAATAAAGCTAAATTAAATTCAAAAAAAACATAGTAGCTGCATCAATGGGCTGAAACGACCATGAAAAAAAAAATTAAAAAAATAAAATGATTAAGAAAAGATAAATAAATAAAACACGACGTGGGCCGAGCTATACGCATCACCCCGAGGATCGGGTTCTCACTGTGGTGTGAGGCACACATGGCTCTATCGTGCCGCTCTCCACTATCTACGCTCGTCTTCCAAGGGCCCCAGAGGCAGTTCAGGGTGCCCAGGCCAGTGTCCTCACTCACCTCCTCCATGTTGACTTCAAAGGGGCCAGCTGACTGGCACTCGGGACAGGAGCCTGGCTTTACTTCCTGGTTCTGTGACTGGCAGAAGGGTCCCAGGACGAAGTTACACTTGTTGCAATTATATTTGACCAAGCTGAGCTGGGGCAGGACGCCTGTGCAGCTGGTCACGACCCCGCTGGTGCGGATCAGCTGGTTCAGGTGTAACTGTCTGTAAGGGGTGAGAGGGGACATCCGTGGCTCTGACCCCTGCCCTCCTGAGGGGTCAGGGCAGCACATGAGGGTGTTCCAGCATGAGAACCTAATCAGGACTAAGCAGATCCTTGTCAGTGCACCCCTTCCACCCTCCACGCAGGGACGAGGGCTCCTCCTGACGTCCCCAGAGACCCCCACCGCATGCGCTCAGTCACTCTCCTAGCCCCCCAGCTCACCTCAACGAGCGCAGTTCCTCCACAAGGGGCAGGTGGGAGATCCGGACATGGATGTGGTTGGCAATGCGGTCGTATTTGGGGTACATGGCCAACACCACCTCCAGGGCAGCCTCGTCAAAGATCTGCAGCAGCTCTGCTGGGGCCTCTGGCAAGAAGTAGGCCAGCACGTGCTCCCGGGCCGCCAGGTCCTCATAGTTCACCACCAGGCTCTCCCGGTTTTCTAGAGAAGGACAGGCGAGTGAGCAGTGGCCCCGCCTGGGGCACTCACTGAAGGCAAGGAGGAAGCTGCTTGCTGAGATCGTTGATGGTGAGCAAAAAACCCAGCTCCTGCTTCTGAGTCTACTGTGTCTTGTGTGGGTTACACGGCTTGGAAAAGTGACATGCCCTGAGCCTCCCGTTCCTAACCTATAAAATGGGACAATCGCACAGCTTGTGAAGTCACTCATGAAACAGCACAGTGTCTAGTGCACCCGGGGCTGCAGTCTCCAATGCTTACAAGGGCCAGGAAGGACACACAGGAAAAGACTGTGTCAAACTTAAGACAAAGGGGAGGCGAAGGGGTTTCTCTGCAGAGAGACGGAGGTTCACACGCTCCTCTTAAACCAATTACCACATGAAAACGTGACCCCTGTGTTCTGATCAAAGGAGTAAACCCACCCATGTCTAGCCTGTCAGAAAAAGGGTCTTAGAGCAGAGAGTTAACTGGATTTCTCTGTCATTTCCTGAGCTCCTGTCTCGATGGACAAGTCACTTGGCACTCCCTGGACGCTGCTTCTTTATTCAATGGGCTGGACACTGACCGAAGAAAGTCCTTCCGAGGACCGGGGTGTCAGGCGGGGGCGCTCGCCAGAGCCGCACCTTTGCACATGTCACTGATGCGCTCCTTGAAGACGTTGTGACCGTGCCCGTCCACGTGGGTGCGCAGGAAGTTCTTGAATCGGTGGTGGATCTCCAGCCGCGGGCCGGCCATGCTCACCCACTCCCGGACAGAGTGGCCCTTCAGGTCCTCCAGGTTCTCGATGCTCTCGATCATCTCCTCGTCCTCCTCGCCGTCCTCGGTGGCCCGCTCCACCAGGCGGCGTTTCCGGGTGGGGCGCTCCTCCTCTTCCTCATCACTGTCTGTGGGAGCAGAGGGACAGGGAGGGTCGCCTCGACCGTCGCCGGCTTTCTGTCGCCCAGTACCCCTCCCCAGACCCAACGGAACCGACCATACAGCAGCCCGCGGCGCATGCGGCCCAGGCCACGGCCAGCCTCCTGGTCCCGCTGTCTCATGACCCGCTCAGCAGCCTCCCTCTGGCTGGCGGTCAATTCCTCCACGTCCTCGTCGTCCAGAGCCAACCCTTCAGCTTCATAGGTGTCCAGCTCTGGGATGGCGCGGTAGTCCCTGGAAGACCATGAAACGTCACAGTTAGCACCAAAATAACCCTTCCTGGGAACTGGACCTGTTTCAAAAGAGTCAAGCGTCTCAAGCTGAACAGGCCCAGGGCCCTAGCTGCCAGGGCAGAAATATAGCTTTAGCATCTAGTAGAATCTCAACACCTTGCTTTCAAAAACGCCATCAGATAGCGCACTTCCCCGACACGGCAGGAATTCTGCACCTTTTCCATTGCCAATTATGCTATCTTTTATTCACCACTAGCCAAGCCAGCCTCTCTAAAATAGCTGTCCATTGTCTCAAGCCTCTGAAGCCACTCCAAGATCTCCAGACAATGACTCGCCGCAGGATGGCGATTCAGACATTCAAAGGGAAAGACCACCTCCACAGGGCTTTCCCTGGCAATGCACTTGGCTTTCCCTTCCAGCCATCCTGGGATGCATCTGAGAGGTGAGGCTACAGAGACGGTGGGGATGGGGATCCTGGCAGTGGTCGCTCAGCAAACAGCAAGCTTTGTTTCACCAACACCCCATCTGACACCCTGAAGGTAAGATTCCAGAATTCTGTCTTTCCTCAGGAAGTGGTCCTCATGGTTTCCCCCCGGTAAACTGTCAGACTGCGCACCCAGAACTGATGCCGTACGCAACTCCGGGCCTGGTACAGTTGTAAACGTCTGGGAGTGGTCAGTTCCGAATTCTGAACTGGTCTCTGGGAGAAGCTCTCTGTATGACTGGACTCGGGATTTTTATGTCAAATGATGTGCTCTCAGCAAAAAAATCTAACTGGCCCATTGAGAAAAAACAAACCCCAAACACTAATAAATCAGATCCATCAAACCCCCAACCTTTTCTATTTTCACAAGACACCAGGACGAAACTGAAGGTAAGTTACAGGGTAGAGAGAAGATAATGGCAAATAATATTATCTGATGAGGGATTTGCATTCAGGACACATACTCAGGATACATTTAGAAACAACTCAGTAGACAAAAGCAAAGTGTTAAACCTCGCAACGGGGATCTCATCAACCGATATCATAATTTTGTGCAAAAAACATATCTAACATACTATCTTCTGTTTGCCAATCTCACCCTCCCCTGCAAGGTTCCGCCCTAGGCCAGTGTTTTACAAAAACACAACAGCATCCACTCAAGTGTCTATCAAGTGATGAATGGATAAATAAAGGACAGTCTCTCTATAAAACAATGTTAATCATCATTACAAAGAAATGGAAGTTTTTTTTTCCTTTTCTTTTTTGATAGAAATGAAATTCGAATACATTTTACACATAGCTGAACCTCGACAACATAAAGTTCTGAGGAGGAAGCTAGACACAGCATCCACAGACGGTTTGATTCCACTTAGGGGCATGCCCCAAATTAACAAATATGTCCAGAGACAAAATAGATTAGTGTTGTCTGGGGAGGGAGATAGGCATTAGGATCAACTGTACAAATAGGCATAAGCGATCTTATTGGAATGATGGAAATGACCTAAAATTGGATTGTGGAAATACATAACTAAGGAAATTTACAAAAAAGCACTGAACTGAATACTTCCACGGGGTAGAATTCTCTCAGAAATAATAACAATACTAGGACTGTATTCCAACAAAGGAGGGGTAACTATTTCTAGAAACACCTTACCTACCTAAACTAATTAAGACTGAGGTAGAAAGTTTGAGCACACCAAACACAACTGATCAGGTCTTTAAACAACAAAATCCCAAGTCCCGGTCCTGACCACTTTTTGGGCAAATTTCACCAAACATTCACACACATATTGTATTCATTCACACAGTAATTCTATTCAAACTATTCCCGAGTAAAGGATGGGATTCTTCCTAAATCATTTTATTAAGTGAGCATATAACCCTGATAACAAACCAGGCAAAAAAGATAAAATCACAGATCAATTCTTTCTCATGAACAGACACAAAAATTCTCAATAAAATGATATACAACAGGATCCAAAACAAAAAATTTAATACATCATGACCAAGTGGAATTTATATCAAGTATGCAAAGATGATTCAGCATGGGGGGGGACCAACATAATCCATCACATTAATAAAGCAACTAAAAAGAGCCACATAATCAAAGTGATGTAGAAAAGGCATTGACAAAGTCCAACATTCATTCCTGATAAAAACACTCAACAAAATACAAATAAGAGGGAAATTACTCAAATGATTAAAGGCACATGCCAAAATGAATGGCTAACATTGGTCTCGAAGGAGAGAAACGGAAAGTGTCCCTCTGGTGAACAGGAACCAGACAAGAATGTCCTGTATCACCACTCCATTCTTCTAACCGTGTGCTGTCTTAGCCAGTGCTGTAAGACAACCAAGAGAAATGAAAGGCACCTGAATTGGATAAGAAAAATGCTCTTTATTTGCAGGTGATATAATCCCATAAGTAGAAAACCCCAAAAACTCAACCAGAAAGTTATTGGGACTAATGGAAAGATTCATCAAAGTGGCGGGGACAAGATAAACATGCAAAAACCAGTTGAGTTCCTTTAAGCTACCAAAGAGCCTGAAAATGAAATCAATACCATTTACAATAGCCATCCAAAAGATGAAACACTTTAGTATGAACAGAACCAGAGAAACAAAAGACCTGTACATAGAAAATCATAATACACTACTAGAAAATCATAATACACTACTACAACAAACAAGAGACCTGCTCACAGACAGGAAGACTTCAAAACTTACCACACAGGCAAGGAAGTCACACAGTCAGGCAGGGGCACAGTGCCCAACACAGACCAAGGGAACAGAACTGGGAAGCCGGAGCAAACCCATTCACCCACGGACAGTCAAAGGACAAAGGAGTGAGACTCACTATATGAAGAGGAGACAGTCAGTCTCTTAAATAAGCTGTGCTGACAAAATTGAATATCCATGTGTAGAAAAACAAAATAGGACCCATACCTCACACCACACACAAAACTCCAGATGGAACGAAGACTACACATGTAGCCTCTATGGCTCCAAAAAGCTTAATGAAAAAAGGCTGACAATCTTAAGGGGCTTAATAGACAGATGATCAAGCATGATTGAAAACCTAAGACAAACAAACTAGATGACAGGGACCTCTTAAATATTCAAATACTTAAGTGCATCAAAATACTAGCAATGTTATATAGGACAAGAAACCAGTCTACAGAATTTTAAGGAAAACTTCAGCACTTCAACGAGAACAAATTCCATGGAAAAACTGGGAGAGGATCAAAGACATTAAGGCGGAAACAATCATATGAAGAAATGCTCCCTTTCATTGGCCATGACAGAGATTCAAATAGATACAGCTCTTCCAATGCTGTCAATCTTCATGGGAACAGAAAGCCTCAACTTTCTCCTGCAGACCCACTACTAACTTTGAACTGCTGACCTTGCACTTAGCAGGCCTACTTGACAGTGTCACCAGGGCTCCTTCGTAGTAATAAACCAAAAAGCAAACTCATCACCAGGGTCAATTCTGACTCACAGCATCTCTATAGGACAGGGTAGAGCTGCCCATGGGGGATTCCATGACTGAACTGCTTACAGGAGTAGAAAGCCTCCTCTTGCTCCTGAGCAGTGGCTGGTGGTTTCAAACTGCTGACCTATTAGTTTGCAAACCAACTCGCAATCCACTATGCCATCAAGCCTCATCTTTCTCCCGCAGAGCAGGCGGTGGTTTTGAACTGCTAACTTGGCTGTGAGCAGTTCCATGTGTAATGCACTATGCCACCGGGGCTCCTACAAAAAAGTACATGCAGGCCTGTGCACATTCATGTTCATTGCAGCACTAATCACAGTAACAAGATGGGAATAACCTACATGCCCATCCATGGAAGAAAGGATAAACACATTAGAGTAAATAAACAGAACTGAATAGTGGGAAATGTTAAATGAGACCTCTCAAGAAAATGAAAAAAAAAAAACCTCACTACTATCAAGCCCATGCTGATTGATAGTGATTGGATAGGGCAGGATAGACCTGCCCCTGTAGCTTCTAAGAGTAACCCTTTATGGGAGTAGAAAGCCCCTTGGTTCTCCTTTGGAGCAGCTGGTGGTTTCGAACTGCTGACTTTGTGGATAGCAGTCCAATGTGCAGCCACTATGGCACCAAGGCTCCTTGTGTGAGATCACTACTATGAAAAGTCCAGAAAAAGGTTTTCATACGAAAAGAAACATTCTTTGATGGTTACCAGGGGAGGGCAGGAGAGGTAAATACAGGGTAAATTACAGCTAGAGAGCAGACACGTGTGAACTGCCTGTTTACTGTCTCCTCTTGTTCAAGTGCATTCACATGTGTCTACCCTCTAGCCAGGTCTGAGGGATCCTGAAGCTTCTCATTCTTTGCTCGTTGGTCAAGGCCTGCACTTGTACCATCTTTGGGGCAAGTTCTTTAGGTAATGCTGAGAGGCTCTGGAGTCCTGGGTATTCTAAAATGCCCATTAGAGGTCCTTACATTACTCATACAGGGTGCCACTCAGCACTGTGCCATATATGGTCTGTCCAGTACCCTCATTCTAAGTTTGGGAACTCCCAACGGTGTGTAAACAAAGACACGTGATGGAAGAACCTACATGAAGCTTTAGGGGTGTGTGTGGGGAGGGGCAATGAAACTCCTGGGCACTCATAACAATTCTGCTATTAAAGTCTCTATCAAATCTCAGTTGAGTACATAATAGCGAAGAAGCAAAGATCTAACATTGTTCACTGAACACTAAGTCCAGATAGGCATTACTATTAGGATAATTATCCTTAGGAGTTAAGTGAGGCAATAATTGTGAACAAGTATCTCATAATACTGGGCCCGGTATAGAGTTGGTTAGATCAACTGCTGGTTGAAGCGGCCTGCTTCCCATCTTTCCAAGTCGAGGCCCCCAGATCAGACCCTCCTACATTGCCCAGGGGCGATCCCCTGGAGGTGGGTTGAGTTACCACGCCTACCGGTCTAGTCTTTGTAAATCAGACGCAGCAAAGCATAATAACAAGTGGACCTGACTTGTGGCTCCATGAATCCGTCTGTACCGGGATCCTACCCTAAGGCCTCAACGAGAAATACCTCTCCATGCCATCCCCAATAAGCTCTTCTCCATCATCTTCCTCTTCTTCCAGGGGCCCCTCGGTGCCCAGCAGCCCTTCTGACTCATCCTCAAAGGGAGGCAAGTCTCGGCCGGGGCTGGAAGTCAGGGCATCAGTGCGCCGAGAGCTGCGGCCAGGGCTGGAGGTAACAGGGTCCGTGCCTCTGCGGCGCCGTGCTGGGCTGGACGCCCCGGTGAAAGACTCAGACGATTCCTGGTAGAGAAGACAGCATTGTCAATGATGGGCCAGGCGGGCTAGCGAGCACAGCTCCATCAGGAGAGGCTACCTCTCCCCCTCCCGGTGCCCGCTCCCGTCTCCTTCTCCACCAGACCCAGGGACCAGGGTCTTCAAACACGCCCAACGCTTTTCCAGTCGACACCCTGTATTCGCAGGCTCTTGGATGACCAGCCCCTGCGGCTCATGCACGCCCTCTTTCGCTTTGGTTTTCTCCCTAAGCAAACGTTGCGCCCACGTGAGCACCCGCAACGTGCTCGGCGCTGTTCCCACCAGGTCTGGAAGTCAGACTGGAGCAAGGGACATTCATCCAGGCCAGGGGTGGCTGAGAGGGCTGTGATAAGAAGCGCACGAAGATGCCAGAGGACTCGTCTGCCCGATGCAAATCAGACAGACGGCTGGCGGCCCAAGCAGCGTGTACAAAGGGAATTAAGGGGTCGGGCACAGGCGCCGGAGAGTGCCAGGTGACCGGGGGTGGGGGTGGGGGGGGGGATGGATATGGCCGGAGGAGGATCATAAAGGAGAAAAACTCCAACCAAAGTCCCGGGGCGGGGGCAGGACGAGGATAGAGGACTCGAAGGCGCTCGGCGCACTCCACCCCTCCCCAGCTTTGCGCTCAAGTTCTCCGCGCCCCATCCCCCCGGCCTCCAGCAGTTCCCATCCGCTCGCGACCCTCTAGCAAACACGCAAGCCCCTCGGGCACCGCGCGGCCACCCCGACCCCCACACCCGGCCCTCCGTGGAAGCGTGCAGCCCCCACGAACGTCACCCGGGCGGGCACAGCTCGCACGCCCGGGGACCGCCGGGCCCACAGCTCACCGCCATTGCAGCGCCGCGATCCTCTGCTCGCTACGCCAGACAGATTTCGCGCGAAAAGGAGCTCACGTGACTCGCCGGAGCCCGGGAAACGTCATGAATAATGAATCTGGCGTCGTGGCGTCACCACGTCGATTTGCATGCACCCGGCGCGCACGGGGCGGCCCGGTGACTCCGGCCCCGCCCACTGTCCCGGGAACGTTCCCTGGGGCTGGACTACGCCTGCGCGTGTCTGCGCTTTCAAGGCAGCAGAGAGAGCACTCCAGGTTTGGAAGTCGGGGCTGGGTTCCAGGAGAGCCAGCCCCGCCTACTGGCTGCCGGTCTTCATCAAGTGATGACCATCTTCTACATGTTGTCTGGTGGCGCAATGGTTAATCGCTAGGCTGCTATCGAAAAGACTAGAGCTCATCTCTTGGACCCCAAACCCAAACAAAACCCACTGCCATCCACTCGGTTCAGACTCATAGCGACCCTATATACTCAGTATATATAGTATATAGCGTTTCCCCATGCTAGTGGGTTTGAACTGCCGACTTTACGGTTTAGCAGCCTGTTCTGATTAAAAACAAGACATAGAGTCAAATCATCTGGATCAGAGACACCAGTAGCAGAAGATCATAATGGCTTCCAAGGGTTTACAGAGAATCGGTTTGGTTGCTTAAGGACATAGGAAACTCACAGAAACACGATTGCTGGAAGATCAGTACATCACAGTGATATTGGGGACTACAGAAGCAGGAATGGGCCCATGCTTAGGCAGAAGAGCTTACAAGATTGGTCCAGGGCCTTCCAACCACCGCAGGCTGTGACTCAGAACTATGTGACCTCAGCACAATGACCTCCATCAGGGGCAAACCCAGGCAAGCTCCTAAGGGAGGCTATTCCTCCTTGGGTCGGGGTAGGTGGTAGGGTGGGGTGGTCATCCACTTTCTCATGCATTCTGTTGGAGAAAACTGGAACCAGAGAAAGGGGTGTTGAACCCCACAGAGACACTGCTGCAAAGGTGAGCACTCTTGGAATGACGAACTCCTGCTTCATGGCTTTCAGAAACTTTCTTAGTCTTATGAAGCTTGCTGTGTATTTTCTTAGCTGTGAACACGTTTGTTCTCGGTCCTGTTTGCCTATGATGCCTGAGTTTAGCGTGACTCAGAATCTTTTGTAAACTATCGTTCTGCTTCAGCTTTTAACAGTTATTTCTTATTTTTAGCAGGCACTCTTGTGTTGTTTTAGACATGTTTTGTGGGAGTGCAGCATCTCTATATATGCACACATGTGTATGCACATATATATGTAAATATGAATAATATTTATAATAGATGATCTGGTGGTATAGTGAGTTCCTTTTGTGATCCAAAGTAAACCTAGTAAATAGTGCTCCATTTCAAAATTTGCGTGGCTGGATTTAGATATTTAGGGTCACTATAAGATGATGCTTTGGGCTGCTACCACCAGATCAGTAGTTCAAACACACCCATTGCTCTGCAGGAGAAAGCTGAGACTTTTACTCCTGTGAAGAATTACAGCCTTAGAAACCCACAAGGGCAGTTCAGACCTGTTCTAATGGGTCACTATGAGTCAGAATCAACTCTACAGCATAGAATTTAAATGCATACATAAAATTCAAGATTTTCCTATGTGTTTGGGGTAGTCTCACCCAAAGTAGCCTGGGGATAGGTTTCAGGCACCTTTCTGTTTGATAGGTGTTCCTCCATGGTAAGAGAAAATGCCTCTCTACTCAGGCAATCAAAACTGGCTTTCCAATATCAAGGATCCTTTAGAACTCCTTGGAAGACCATTTTTCAGTAATTTTAAAACGGGTTAACCTGGCTGAAGCAGTTTAAAATTCTGTAGCTACTTTTGAGTGTTTGTGCTGTTTTGAGACTCTTGTGCAGTTGTTAACCTTCATTATATGAACCATCACAAGGGAACACATGGGCAGTGAGCGATTTTCTAGCCTGTTGGGGAGTGGGTGTTTGAGCGTCACACCAAATGGCACTAAGTCTCAGGAAAACCAGTTCCCCAGTTAAAAGCAAAACAAAACAAAACACACAATCCTAACAGTAGTCCATGGTTTGCTTGTGGCAAAGGTAACCACTTACTCATTGAAGGAAATCTGGAATGTTTACAGTTTGGGTTAATATGAACAAACTGCTACCAGCATATATGCACAGGATTTTCTGTGAGTGAATTTCTGGAATGTTATGGCTGGATGATATGGAAATTACCTGGTGTTTTTTTT